TTTGTTGAGAATGGATGTAATATGATCAGTAGTGGAATTCAGGGCAAGCATATGCCAACTCAGACTGATCCGAATACAGTCGAAATTATTAAAACAGCGTAATTCGTATCATTATCAATTCAGTTAAATTTAAGTAGTTCGTATTACATGAATATTCATTCGAACAACATTACTATTATTCCTTAATCAACCAACTGAACCAAGTACATCCGCTATTTGCTTATTTCTTATATCTCTGGATTTAAAGCATCAATTAGTAATTTAGGCTCAGATTATTAGCAGTTTTGTTTGTTGTAAACTGACTTTTGATTGGTAATGACCAATGACACTTTTCAACGTTTATTTGAATGGAGAGGGAAGCAAGAGAACATTTTGACTGTCAAGAACTGCAGGGAATCGAGCTGGATGGAACCGATTTCAGTCAAAGAATAATGGGAGTAAGTTTGATTATACTCTATATTTTTGAAGTTAGTTGTTCATCCAGAAGAATATTCTGTTCTCTGAAAAGTGTTCATGTTCAACATGTTTGATTTTCTATTTGCACTCTTTGCGCTGTTCTCCGAATATGTAAAAAAAGGAAACATAACAAGCATGATCGCAGTTTTGAGTGCATTGATTGAAGGATAGACTATCACATCTTTCTTATGATGCTTCTGTTACATCATATGCGTTTGTGCCCCCCTTCTGTATGAGACGACGATGATGACGGTTTCGCCAATTAGAGAACAGCGATGTATCGACCGGACCAATAAAACATAAAGCCCGTACAAGCATTCTAGAGTCCCTATCAGTCCATGATTCCTGCTCAACCTTGTCTGATTACACCAGAACATCAATAATAGCCTCTGCGATATGCATCATATACTTCGGACACACTAGGTTTACAGGTCAAAATAAAGCCCACAATAAGGGGAACACGAATATGAATGGTTTAGTTACTTAACAATTATACAACAAAAATATACGTATAGATTTATTTCACAAATAGATTCCGATGGTGACCATTCGTTATTCGGATCGGGATATAACACTTTTCCCCTTTTTTGAAAAGTTGGAATTTATATCCAGAATAAATTTTCCGACTTTATCGTCCCTCACGAATTAGTGTTCCATCCTCACATCATCAAGTTACAATCATTGTAATTTTATTTAAAAGGTATTTAACTCATTGAACAGAAAACTCGTGACGACGAAACATGAACGTTATAGTAGCTTTATTGCTGAAGAGAACCCCCGATACCTTAGTTCTGATAGAACTAATAAAACACTGAGTCAAATATTTGAAGAACAGTCATTTCTGAATAATATCTCTTACCAATGTTTGCAGTTAACGAAACAAACGGGAGATAACTGGGTGCAACATGCAGGGATTGTGAACCAAAAATGTGAGAGGACCAGTTTAAATGCCTGGAACTTCTCTGTATCCTGCCTTTACCAAAGGATGCTGACACCCGAACTCGAGTCTTGATAAAACTAAAACACTGTCTCAGCACGGCCCTACAGAAATTTAGTAAAAAAAGCCTAATGTTAGTGAATTTGAAGTATCATCCACCGATGGTGGGGAACGGCAACCAGTTCCTTCATGTCAATGCAGTCAAGTGAAGGACACAAAGAAAGTCATTGTGAAACCCGGAAACTCCGTCAACCCAAACTGTATTCTAGAATATTCAAGCATCAAACAGCCACAGTAACTTCAGCTGCCAACAAAACCGGCCACCATAACCATAGAAAATATGTTTCTCTCAAGATTAAAAGAATACGATGCCCGCAGGCAGCTAGACACAGCCTCCGATATAACACTTATAATCAGGAGAACAAGTGAGAAGGTTTGGAGAGCGTGAATATACTCAACCCATCAATCAGCCCATAGTTCATCCGGAAAAATGCATAACATTGGTGATGAGATTCATTGTGAAGTGACTGTCAAAGCGTTTACGGAGAAGGGAGTAATATTTTTGACAGAACGTCCATCACTCGATATATTGGGGCTAGATTGCATAGAAAGGATTAAATTAACAGACCTACCCATAAGTGGAACTGCAACAACGTCAGTATGTTGAAAGTTGATGAGATAAACCTAGTGGAGACATTATTAAAACGACATAAAATGGTATTTTGTCAGGGTCTTGGAGAAATGTACTAAATTTGACGCTGCTCTTACCCTTCAACGGTGGTCGAAGCCGAGATTTCAATCTAAGAGATCTGTGCCATATACTACCCTCCCAGTTCTTGAACAAGAGCTACAACGACTTCATAAATTGGCTGTCATTGAATAGGTGAATGTCTCAGAATGGACTGCACCTATAGTGGTAGTAAATAAGACGTCCGTTTATGTGCCGATTTCTAAGCCGGGATAAACGTAGCCCTTGAAATTCATCAGTATCAACCACCTCTACCTGAATATCTTTTTGCTAAGCTGAATGTTGGTGAGCTCTTTGCAAAGTTAGAATAATCGGAAGCTTATTTACAAATTCTTGTTGCTGATGAGTGTGAAAATCTGCTCACAATAAACATACACAAGGGCTATTTGCGGTATAACCGTCCACCTTTCAGGGTCAAGACTGCCCCATTCATTCTTTAGCAAGTAAAGAATACTATGCTACAGGGTGTTTCAGGTGCTTCAGTTTATCTGTATGATATAATAATTATGAGAGCAGAGAGAATAGACTTAGAGAAGAATCTCGATCAGGTGCTTTCGCGAATAACCGAATACAGAATTCGACTCCTCGCAGAGAAATTTAACTTCTGTATGCAAAAGGTAGGCCACCTCGAATTTATAGTCGATAAAGTTGGCAGAAGACCAGATCTAGAGAATATTCATGCAGTGCAAAATATGCCTAGAGCGACAGAAGTCCCTATACCACGATCTTTCCTCGGACTACTTGGCCATTATGGAGCTTTTATTATTAACATTTATCACCTGCATGGCCCCTTAAATGACCTTCTGGCAAAGAGTCTCAAATGGGATTGGTCTGCAAAGTGCCAAAGCGCTCTCAAGAAAATAATAGTCTCGGATATGTTGCTCACCCATTATGACTCATCCTAACCCATTGTAGTAGCATCAGTTTCCCATATCATGCCAGACGGATCTGAGAAAGCCATTACGTATGAAGCTTGATCATTAACTACGGCAGGCCGTAGCTACAGTCAGGTCGAAAAGAAAGCCTTGTCGATTACTTTTGCCGTAGGACGTTTCACAAGATGATCTTTGGACGCCAGTTTACTCCATGAAGTGACCGTAAAGCACTGTCAGCCATTTTTTGAGTCGATGAAAGGTATCCCGCTATACACAGCAAACAGACTGCAACGGTAGGGAAATACAATCTTGCGTTATGACTTCAACATCACGTACCAGCCTACTACTGATTTTGGACAAGCAGACGCTTTGCCTTAACTGATTGGTTCACTTGTAAAACAAGAAGAAGATACCTTGGTAGCAGCAATGGAGGCGGAAGCAGAAGTATATCGAGTATTGGAAGACTCAATCGATGGTTTACTAGTCACTTTCAAAAGCATCAAAGAAGCCACACAGATGGAAAGCCTCCTGCTAAAGTGATGTTCGAAAGAAGCATTCGAACTATATTGGTCGCCATGTTGCCACCTGAACCAATGAGTGAACACAAACAAATTCGGAATATCCGGAGTGCTCGTTATGTAATACATTGGGAAAATCGTCAGGCACCGGGATTCATTAGAAAGAGAATGGGAAATGTTTTGCACAAGTTACGTAGAACGTTTGGAACATGGATTGAACACATCAATCAAATACATTAGGGAAAGAGGACGTTCAACTAGATAGAGAGTCGAGAGGACGCTCAACACGATAGAGAGTCGAGCGAGTCATGCCCTTAATATAATTTCACATACTTTATTGGCAGGAACACCAACAGACATTTATAGACGCCAGATATGAAGAAAGTCCGAACGCCGCAAAAAACCATTGATCAAGCTGAAAATAGACATCAAGAATAGGTCTTATTTTTTAAACAAGGAAGGCGTTCGGGCGATCCATAAACCCCTCGAAAGGAAAAGCCAAGAAGTGCTCTGAAAACACCGAGAAACATCTTATTCGATCGGCATTCATTAGAATGTCTGCACAAAATATTTGGAAAATGAAAAGTTACATGTCGAGTTTCTGATTGGATGATTATCTATACTGCCACTATGTTCGGTAGCATTCCAGAATTTTCCGGAGACTCAAGGCCATCTAAAATATTACTAAAACACTGAATTTTGTGTATGTAATGGAATATTTAGAGTCAATTGTTTCTTCTATATTACGCTCCTTTTCTGTACCTGTTCAAGTCTTTGTGTAGATTTAGCCTAAGGGTTACTAGTGAACCAAACCTGGCGTTTAATTAAATGACTTATCACTTCACGGATTGTTTGCAACAAAGTTAAAATTTTCAATATGGACGATTTATCATTACATAAATCAAATATCACAAGTCGATAGCAAAGCATCATGAAATGAGAAATGTTCCCAACCTAGAATTTATTCAAGGCAATTCTGTGTTATCAAGTCAGCGTAAATCCAACTCTGGTATCTATAAATACTACAGAGAATGAACAGCGTAAAATATTTAGGAGGCGTGTCAATGCAGTTTCTTTCCAAAATATAATGGAATAGCGTCAACATCCACAAAGCTTTCGTACTGAAAGGAACACATATAGGTATCAGAGGACGTTTTGTGAAGATTTCAGTAATTTTATAGTTGAATTCCTTAGTCAATGGAAGCTAGACAACCATAGAAACCTGGAAGAATTGGATGGCCGATTCGTCTTAATGTGAGACTCCTCCACTTAAACTCCAGACCACTAAACTCGTATCCAACAGTTTTGATGTTTAATTTCAACCAATCCACATATACGTATAAGCGTACACATTTTGTAAACGGATGTATTACCAATACAATTACAAATTTGCAAGAAATAGCAGATATTCAAAATAAAATTTGACTATCAGTGTTAGTAGTCGGGTTGAAGTTGTAATTTGAAAGAACCATGATCATGTAAGTTTCATACCAATTGATTCCTAATGTTTTCATGTTAACTCACTTCAACCAGAATGATTTGATGACACCTTATCAATTGGAGTCAAGTTGTGTTTCAAGAATAACTCTGGCTTATTTCGAAGATATAAAGTAAGTGTTTTATGTTGAAATCAAAGATTTAATAAATCCTGATAAACATGACAACTTTTACATGAAACTTACCGGATTTAACGTAAGGTAGATAAGACATATTAAGACGCCTTATTTACTCCTGCAACGATCCTCGTTGGATAATGAATCAAAATAAACTGTGTGTGAATGCGAAATAAATCGCTTAGCATGACTCTTTCTCCCACTGATAACTAAATTTGAACTTACGAATGTGCAATAATGCGCGATTCATAGCTGTTGACTGAATTTCATCAGTGATTTTGCAGTGTGGAACGAATTTCACATGATGACATACTATACTGTGAAAAAAATGATATGAACTTTGTGATCATGATAAATCCTACGAGTCTATGTGGGACAACTCACTTATACTTGATAAGTCATCTATGGGGACATGAATTGTAAACAAAATATTTCAGTGTCCCAATAAAAAGTGATCAGAAGTGGAATGTGAACGTTGTAGGTTTGAAAATATACACATTATTGCTTGGTCGACGAAGATTGTGATATTAACCGTCTTTCCATTCAAGCAAGAATAAATGCTGATAAACATTTAGAGCTACTATGAAACTGAACACATTCCAACCTGCACGTAATGTTGGTTTTGTGATTGTTTCTGCAATCGATTTCCAAGAACACTTTTAAGACAACGATCGTTTCTAAGAACTAGATCGAACATTTAGAAATCCAATCCTATATACATCTCTTCATATAATCGACCTATTTTTAACAACCGCCTAAGGTTCTGTGGGCACCTTGAAGTTTGCGGTGGATTTGGAGACACAGCTTCCTTGGTGTTTCTGTCTTAGTTAAGAATTAAAGAGCACGTTGGGTGGTGGTCGCTGTGTCTACTCAGAATTTAGTACATCAAGCACTGCATGTAGCAGACGTATCTGAGATAATTACAACAACGTAACAATATAAATTAAAAAGTGTTTCTCCTGACAATGGCTAAATGAACAACGATATGAAATAATTAAATAAACCCTGAAGTGATCTAAATTTCAAACGCTGAGATCACTTCCAGTATAATCATTAGATATGATGGTTTTTTCACAATCGGCGTTCAACTATTGTCAAACTATTTGTTCCAATACTGACGAATATTCGTATAAATAATTCATTGCTTTCGTACTCTAAGGTTGAAATGCGCCGAAGAAGAATTAATGGTCGTTCACAGGGAAAAATTCTTGCATTAATTGAAAGGTATATAATATTCGAATTCTTGGTAATTGAAGTATCCCGTAGCAAGTGTGGTGTCGACGACTTACTTACTTACTTACTCCTGTTACCCCTCGTCGAGGAGCATAGGCCGCTCACCAGCATTCTCCATCCAACTCTGTCCTGAGCCTTCCTTTCCAGTTATTTCCAGTTACTATTCAGCCTTTTCATATCGGCTTCTATTTCCCGGCGTAGTGTGTTCTTTGGCCTTCCTCTTTTCTGCTTCCCTTCCGGATTCCAAGTTAGGGATTGAGTCGTGATGCACATTGGTGATTTTCTTAATGTATGTCCGATCCACTTCCAACGTCTTTTCCTAATTTCCTCTTCAGCTGGAAGTTGGTTTGTCCTCTCCCATAAAACGCTGTTGCTGATAGTATCCGGCCAGTGGATGTTGAGTATTTTGCGTAGACAACTGTTTATAAATACTTGTACCTTCCTGATGATGGCCGTAGTAGTTCTCCACGTTTCAGCTCCATACAGTAGGACTGTCTTGACGTTCGTATTGAAGATTCTGACCTTGAAATTAGTTGAGAGTTGTTTTGAGTTCTATATGTTCTTCAATTGTAGAAATGTTGCCCTTGCTTTGCCAATCCTCGCCTTTACATCTGCATCCGATCCTCCTTGTTTATCAACGATGCTCCCCAGGTACTTGAATGTTTCCACCTCTTCCAGAGTTTCGCCATCAAGTGTGATTGGGTCGGTGTTCTCCGTGTTGCATTTGAGAATCTTGCTTTTTCCTTTGTGAATGTGGAGGCCTATCGATGCGGAGGCTGCTGCTACATTTGCTGTCTTCATCTGCATTTGTTCGTGTGTATGAGAGAGGAGGGCTAGGTCATCTGCGAAGTCCAAATCATCTAATTGATTCTGAGAAGTCCATTGTATTCCGTATTTCCCTTCGGATGTCGAATTCGTCATAATCCAGTCAATCACTAGAAGGAAGAGGAATGGGGAGAGTAGACAGCCTTGTCTGACTCCGGTCCTTACTGGAAATACACCTGTCAGCTGTCCTCCATGCACCACTTTGCACTGTAATCCATCGTATGAGTTTTGGATAATGTTGACGATCTTCTGAGGAACTCCATAGTGTCGAAGAAGTTTCCACAATGTTCTCCTGTCCACGCTGTCAAACGCCTTCTCATAGTCAACAAAGTTGACGTATAGTGATGAGTTCCACTCAACTGATTGTTCAACGATGATCCGTAGTGTCGCAATCTGGTCTGTGCACGAACGATCCTTACGGAATCCAGCCTGACGATCCCTAAGTTCGGCGTCTACTGCGTCTTTCATCCGATTCAGCAGCACTCTGTTGAAAACTTTTCCTGGTACTGATAACAAACTGATACCTCTGTAGTTCTCACATAGGCTCAGATCTCCTTTCTTTGGTATCTTGATGAGATATCCTTCTTTCCAGTCCGTTGGCACTTGTTCCTCTTCCCAAATCTTTTTGAATAGAAGGTGAAGCATGTTTGCAGTTATTTCAATGTCTGACTTCAGTGCTTCTGCTGGTATATTGTCAGGTCCTGGCGCCTTCCCACTTTTGATTTGTCTGATGTCCATCTTGACTTCTTCGATCGTTGGTGGAGTGACATCCATTGGAAGGTCAGTGTGGGCTGCTTCGATATTCGGTGGATTCGATGGGGCTGGTCTATTCAGCAGTTCCTCAAAGTATTCTGCCCATCTTTTCTTCTGTTCTTGAATCTCAGTGATTGTCTTTCCTTGTGGTGTCGACGAAGCAATCATTTATTTTAATTGAGACTTCTGTTTACAGAATTTAGCCACAAATACGGTTGTATAGTTTCAGAAGGTTGAGTAGTGAAAAGGAAAATTTTGTTAGCTGGTATCCATTAATTCTTCGAAGACCTACTTTATTTTCTAACGCGATTGCACCAATAAATACTTTCATATTTGAATAATGTTTACTGAATGCTTTTCAAGTTTGAAATTCAGATGTGTTGGTTAGTCATGCCAAGTTACACAACAATTGATCAAACTCATTTAAAATATCCCACCATATACATTTGATGTAGGATGTAAGTGGTCTATATCTTACACAAATGCAATCTTCACGTCCTCTGACCTCACAACTTGTATACACAATTTCAAAGTATGCCCAACTACCTTCAAATAGGAAACCAATATGCAAATATCATCACACCTCACTCCTTTCTAATCACATTCTTATCCAATATATTTTGTTCCTCAAAGCATGTATGAAGTCGACTATTCCATGGCCGATGATTTCAAATGGGGAAAAGGTTTAGGTTGTGATTTCGTGTTGAAGAGCTGTTATGAATACATCAAGGAGAGAAGAAGCAGGTAAAATAGACACATTGTATATTTTCCCTTGACCTATTATTTATTTATGCTGAGTAGGTGAGAAGTTATCTCTCTTAACACCCCACAAGTATGATTAACAATTGATTCATGTGAAGAGTACATGACTTCGATCTCGTCATCAGTCACGTTAGATCGTTTTCAACAGACACATTTGAGGAATCATAATCTGCAAGTCAGCCACAAAAGTTGCTGATTTGTTACACTTTATAGACAAAATTCATCACTTATTTTACCTTGAAAATATTCAATTCAGAAAAGATTCAGGTTGTAGAGCAGTTATCTAGATAATACATTTAATTTGAATGCAGAATTGAAACAATAAAATCTCAGTGATCTTGACGAGAATAAATATGTACTAAAAAATGTTGCGAGAAAAGTATGGAACTTTATGGAACTATATAGAATTGATGAGTCATGTTGATTGAACGCTATATTCGGATCCTAAGCTAGTCTCGTAACCCCCAAGCTACATCTACACAGCAATTTCAACATGAGAGAAAAGGCACAAAATATGCGGTAAGCACTCTACTCCCAAGGTGCATTTATGTACAGAAAATACCGGGTCTTTATAATATTTTAGAAGTACTTTGGTTTTACTGGAAATTCTAGAATACTACTAAACATAATAGCAGTGTAGTAATCAGCCAGTCAGAAGCTGTACATGTGAATTTTCGTTTTCGCAATATTTCTAGCAAGACTTCTAATCAAACGCTGAATGGATAAAATGCTTCTTAATGTTTCCTGAGTTTGTCATGTCTATTACGAGAAATTCGCAGTATCATCCCAACAACAATATTGAAGCGTTTATTTTCATTAGTTATAACCGTTTTCAAAAATATGCAGATGGGATGGAGTCGCCATCGACTTTGATCACCACTACGATAAGATTACGTGACAGTTGACGACTTGGATCTTTCGATAGGCCGAAACCAGATAGCTGTTATTGGTTCAGGTAAGATATATTTATTGGCGATCTCTTGGTGTCGAAAGAATACGGGGACGTGCCAAAGATCACAGGCTAAATGGCAGAGCGTAAGAGGGTTTGCTCGAACAAGATCGACAATGGAACGAAAAGTGTTTTTAATACGAATAAACAAAATAGTACTGTAAAACAATTACTTTTACAATTGATTATAATAATAATTTTTTCCATAATACTAACGGCGTTCTCATTATGTATATTAGGTCACTACAAATATCTGTTTTCTCCCTTCATTGATGTTTCACCTGAGCTTTTACATATCTTCGTTAGTAGGTATTACAACAAACATCATACATAATCAGCACGCTAGTGTCTGTCCGGATTCGGAATCCCGGTGAATTACACATTGAAGTTCAAAGCCGAATTCTCGAAGATCAGTGTGAGTGAATAGCGATACAAGGATGTATATATTGCATCAAACTATACATAATAATTCGTCGATACTCGTGCTTTATCTAAATGAAATCGTGAGCATTTGTTAATTATTGTTGACTTTATTAAATGCTTTTCATCTCATGACAAATCAAATTATTCTCTTCTTAGAGGTCAAGATATTCACCCCTACTGTGATATTCCCTTTGAACAAAAATGCGACAGTTATGAAAATGGGATTGGTACTTGCGCGCTGTTTAAACACGAAAATCAATTAAATGAAAGCAATCAGTATATGGATGATTCGTTTGCTTTTACTGACACTGAAAAGGAAAAATATGGAGGCTATCCATTTTTAGATTACTGTCCAGTCCTCCTAGTAAGTCACACTACTATACAGCCGTTTTATAACTATGTTGGAATGGTGTGTATTGATAAGACAACTAAACTAAACTGCTGATAGTTACCGGATCACTCATATAGTTCGTTTGACAGTTTCTAGAAAAGTTTGTAAGTAGTTGATCTAAAAGTAGAGTTGCCCATCGAAATGATTATTTGGTTCAAAATGACGGAGATTCATATGCTAGACGAATAGGGTTATTAGATGTGATCCGCGAGCATACTGTTACACTGGTTCCTCAGTATTTATTTTAAACAAGAGATGTATATATTTGTATGGTCTTTCACACACTGATACGTGAAGATGTTTGTTATAAATAGTTTTATTTTTTATTCTTTGAGGTATTGCAGTCATTGAGATTTAAGTAATATGTGCAACAATATCTAAATGAATTACTTTTATAATCATCGGATCTGTCATTTTATGAAAAGTAGTTAGTTGTTCCTGATACCTGTAAAGAAATCAAGAGAATAGTTGTTCATTGAATTACAGAGATATAACTTAACACATATTCATAATATTAATAATTATAAAACACTGATTATCTTAATAATGGTTTCTTATGGAATCAGCATTCAATATCGTCGCTGTAATCCTATTCCAAATCATTCAGTAACATACATCAAATCTTGTTGTGACAACGGTGATTTTTTGATAATTTACACATTTTTTCAATGAAGTTTTGTTGTCTGTGATGAGTAATTCAGTTGTGCAGCTTTTATCATCTTTCTGAATAACATCATCAGCACAAATGTCGGGTAGACGTCTGTGGACGTTTGCGGTGATGATGTCGTTCAGAGGGACGATGAAAACTCCACTACCAAACCATCCAGCTCAGACCTCAGAATCATGCACCTGAGCTACAATTGTTCTCCAACATTTTATAAACACTATATTTTTTGCACTTAAAAATACTCGATTTAGGTTCTTCCGCATGATGAAGTTAAATCATCCCTGTGCGAGAAGGAAAGCGGTTTAGAACCAGGTTCGTTAACAAACATATTTAGTCTATTCACCTGTTTCACTTGTTAATTAAAACATATTTGTATTTGAATATGTATGTTTATATATCATGTTGAAACAATAATTAACGTATAACACTTGTACAGGATAAGTCAAAATGTATTCTATATTCACTCTCATAATGTGTAGGAAATTGTCTAGCTAAATTATACTTGCATTCCTTCAACTGATAACAACTAGAATATCTTGATAATCATCATGTATTACCTTGAAAAACGACATATGTCAACAGACTTGTCATATTTTCATTTAGAAAGATAACCCCTATGCCAGAAGTTGCATATAAAGAAAAAGAGATGGATTGTGTGATTGTTTCGTGAAATCATGTTGACTTCATACACTAAAGCGAAATGTCACCATGTCAGAATATGTACACTACTGGAGTGTTAATCTATGGTGATAAAACAATTTTTACTTCTATAAATTTACTATGACATTTAATCAATATAGATGTGTTTAAATAATTATTAATTTTCTACAGATTCAACACTAGACACATTTCTGGATTATAGGGGTCCTGATTCAGCTTGTTTTATGGGCGAAACATTTAAATATTTTAACGTATCCAAAACATACACTGTTGAGAAGAAGCCATCTTGTCATAAAGTAAATTCTATTTCGAAATTTCGATAATTTCTATTGATGGAGTTTATATGTTTTATATTAAAATTCAGTTGGTGATAAACAATGAAGGTAACAAGGAGAAATAAAACTCAAATCATTTCGAAGTGTAATATTCGCACAAAATACTATTCAATAACTGTGTTGAATTGAAGAGATTATTGCGTTCTCTTTTAAGAATAAGTTAATCGAAAATGAGGAAATGAGTTCACTCATATTTTTAAAAATCTTATTCAAATACGTGGATACTGGTACAAAGAGATAACATGATATTCATACGTTACTCAAAGAAATAAGATTGTGGAGAAGATTCATTTTTTGAAAGAGATCCTCTTAATTATAAAAGTGAATGAAGAAAACCTACATTAGGACCCCCACTATTAGTACCCACCGACTTATAGGAGACTCAATTCTACGCACAATTTGTGCAATGTTTCGAACTTAAAATCAACATAAATAGTCAACTTTGTGACTAGTCGGTATAAGCCGAAGTATCACATCTAGTTATAAGGTGACCTGAGAACTTTACTGCTTATACATGGGAGGTTTTGCGAAAGCGAATGTGCCTTCACTCGCCAATTTCAAGGTGCCATATATGTGCAACCAATGTTCATCCAGTGTTTGCGATGGATCGTCAAACTCTGTTTGATTATTTTAAGCTGCTTAATTCGTAACATAGAAATTCACAGTCTTTGAGGTGATGCTAAATTTTGGTTCACAATAAGCAATGATAACTGAAATAATTCAGCAATTATTCAACAGGACAAGTGTATGAGTAAACATATTAACTTGCACGTTGCCAGACAAATTAACTGTTGCGTAAAACTATATGCTTAGGCTTGAAAATGTTAAACATATTCTATGGTGGGAATTCTATCTCTTTAGTGGTATGGTGAATATATTTTCAAGACCAGTTCTACAGATATTTTTCTGAAAAATGATTTCTCTTGTTGACTTCTGCTCAATTTAAAACTAATTATCTACTGATTGTTCCTCATCTTAAACACAAACACTGTCAGTTCCAATGTTCAATAAATTCTGGTGTTGAAGTGATATATTATGGACATGCGTTTCAGTGTCCTGTTGATGGTGGGATAATACACATAAGGGATCAATTGAAAGATGGATATTTTTTTATCGATATACAATGTCCAAAGTGCACATCATTGTGTAAGGTGAGTTGAATTGGTTTGCAAATGTTCGCCACACCAAATATATATTAAAAGAACGGATAAATCGTGCTACTTTGATAACACTATATTGTCATGATAAGCTGGAGAATTAATTGAAGTAAGCATGAACATTGTAGTATGACTAGCGTTGGAAATCTGTGGAGATTAAATATTCGTTGGAAGTGCATAAGAATTTTATACAAACATTATTGAGTGTTAAAATTTTTCTGGTCATATGATGAGATACATTTGAATGTAGAATTGAACCGTGATCAAGAAGATAGGAAAAAAGAGCTCCAGTAAGATGTAAAATGGTGGAGAAGCAAGTAGCTGATTACTTCGGAATAACAAAAGATTGAAACCATGGTAGATAAAGACAGCATTTAAAATCGTTTATGCGACATATTTCTTCAGGTTTCACGTTATAACAGACCGATATCTGTCAATATTATGTATCCCTCATTTTGAGTTCATGTTTTCAGTTATCACTGAACTCGTTTGCGACCTCATCTATGACTCTATTTCATCTTCAAAGTCAGTTTTGTAAGCCTGCTCTATTCTGCTCATATCATTTGTATCTTACTTACTTACTTACTTACGCCTGTTACCCCTCGTCGAGGAGCATAGGCCGCTCACCAGCATTCTCCATCCAACTCTGTCCTGAGCCTTCCTTTCCAGTTCTTTCCAGTTGCTATTCAGCCTTTTCATATCGGCTTCTATTTCCCGGCGTAGTGTGTTCTTTGGCCTTCCTCTTTTCTGCTTCCCTTCCGGATTCCAAGTTAGGGATTGAGTCGTGATGCACATTGGTGATTTCCTTAATGTATGTCCGATCCACTTCCAACGTCTTTTCCTAATTTCCTCTTCAGCTGGAAGCTGGTTTGTCCTCTCCCATAAAACGCTGTTGCTGATAGTATCCGGCCAATGGATGTTGAGTATTTTGCGTAGACAACTGTTTATAAATACTTGTACCTTCCTGATGATGGCCGTAGTAGTTCTCCACGTTTCAGCTCCATACAGTAGGACTGTCTTGACGTTCGTATTAAAGATTCTGACCTTGAAATTGGTTGAGAGTTGTTTTGGGTTCCATATGTTCTGCAATTGTAGAAATGCTGCCCTTGCTCTGCCAATCCTTGCCTTTACATCTGCATCCGATCCTCCTTGTTTATCAACGATGCTCCCCAGGTACTTGAATGTTTCCACCTCTTCCAGAGTTTCGCCATCAAGTGTGATTGGGTCGGTGTTCTCCGTGTTGCATTTGAGAATCTTGCTTTTTCCTTTGTGAATGTGGAGGCCTATCGATGCGGAGGCTGCTGCTACATTTGCTGTCTTCATCTGCATTTGTTCGTGTGTATGAGAGAGGAGGGCTAGGTCATCTGCGAAGTCCAAATCATCTAATTGATTCTGAGAAGTCCATTGTATTCCGTATTTCCCTTCGGATGTCGAATTCGTCATAATCCAGTCAATCACTAGAAGGAAGAGGAATGGGGAGAGTAGACAGCCTTGTCTGACTCCGGTCCTTACTGGAAATGCATCTGTCAGCTGTCCTCCATGCACCACTTTGCACTGTAATCCGTCGTATGAGTTTTGGATAATGTTGACGATCTTCTGAGGAACTCCATAGTGTCGAAGAAGTTTCCACAATGTTCTCCTATCCACGCTGTCAAACGCCTTCTCATAGTCGATGAAGTTGACGTATAGTGATGAGTTCCACTCAACTGATTGTTCAACGATGATCCGTAGTGTCGCAATCTGGTCTGTGCACGACCGATCCTTACGGAATCCAGCCTGATGATCCCTAAGTTCGGCGTCTACTGCGTCTTTCATCCGATTCAGCAGCACTCTGTTGAAAACTTTTCCTGGTACTGATAACAAACTGATGCCTCTGTAGTTCTCACATAGGCTCAGATCTCCTTTCTTTGGTATCTTGATGAGATATCCTTCTTTCCAGACCGTTGGCACTTGTTCCTCTTCCCAAATCTTTTTGAATAGAAGGTGAAGCATGTTTGCAGTTATTTCAATGTCTGACTTCAGTGCTTCTGCTGGTATATTGTCAGGTCCTACCGCCTTCCCACTTTTGATTTGTCTGATGTCCATCTTGACTTCTTCGATCGTTGGTGGAGTGACATCCATTGGAAGGTCAGTGTGGGCTGCTTCGATATTCGGTGGATTCGATGGGGCTGGTCTATTCAGCAGTTCCTCAAAGTATTCTGCCCATCTTTTCCTCTGTTCCTGAATCTCAGTGATTGTCTTTCCTTCTTTGTCTTTGACTGGTCTCTCTGGTTTGCTATATCTCCCTGCCAATTTCTTCGTTGTATCATATAGTTGTTTCATATTCCCTTCTCTTGCAGCTTTTTCCGCCGCCGTTGCTAGTTCTCCCATGTATTTCTGCTTGTCGGCTTTAATGCTTATCTTCACTTCTCTGTTTGCTTCTGCGTAGTCTGCTTGTGCTTTGACTTTCTCTGCTCGTGTTCGGCTGTTGTTAATTGCTAGTTTCTTGTTCTTCCTTTCTTGAAGTTTGTCCAGGGTCCCCATAGAGATCCATTCCTTGTGATGGTGCTTCTTAGGACCAAGAACCTCCTGACACGTTGAAGTTAGTGCTTCTTTTATCCCTTTCCAGTTGTCCTCAAAAGTAGTTTCTTGTTCTTTCAGTAGATCCTGTAGAGCTTGGAACCTGTTGTTGAGAGTTATCTTGAATTCATGGAGTTTGTCAGTATCTCGAAGGAAGGCTGTATTAAACGTTTGTAGTGCTGTTTGTCCAGTTGTCCAGTCTTTCTTTAGCTTCAGTCTCATCTTGGCCACAACCAGGTGGTGATCTGAAGCTATGTCAGCTCCTCTCCGGGTTCTCACATCTTCCATTGATCTTCGGAATTTTTTGTTGATACAGATGTGATCAATCTGGTTCTCTGTGGTGTGGTCCGGTGAGATCCATGTAGCTGTGTGTATGCGTTTGTGTGGGAATATTGTGCCGCCTATAACCAATTTGTTGAAAGCACATAGGTTTGCAAGTCTCTCCCCATTTTCATTTCTCTCTCCTAATCCATGTCGTCCAATTACATCTTCATATCCTGTGTTGTCCACTCCAACTTTAGCATTTAGATCTCCCATAAGGATGGTGAGGTCCTTTCGTGAGCACTTTGCTATAATTGATTGCAGCCTTTCATAGAACTGATCTTTATCATCGTCGTTGCTATCATTGATGGGTGCATAACATTGGATAACATTCATTGTGATCCCTTGCTTCTTTGTTCTGAATGATGCTTTGATTATCCTGGGTCCATGAGATTCCCATCCCACAAGTGCATTACGTGCTTCTTTGGACAGCATTAGAGCAACTCCCTGAGTGTGTGGCGCATTTTCCCCTTCGTGACCGGAGTACAGCAGCATCTCTGCTGTACCTAGCCTTTGTTGTCCAGCTTGTGTCCAATGGGTTTCGCTGATTCCGAGTACTGCCAAGTTGTGTCTCCTCATTTCCATTGCTATTTGGCTGGTCTTTCCTGTTTCCCACATTGTCCGGACGTTCCATGTACCTATAAAGAGTGTTGCTCTGGTTGTTAGAAGGTGCATCGGTCTCGTGACTTCCGAAGAATTTCGGCTTTCATCATGAGACGTCATTATTCCTTCAACTCCCAGGGCAGAGTTTAAATGGTTTGGATTATTTTTTCTGGTTAGCGTTTTTTTAGCGAGTTAGCTTTTCTACGGGATGGGGTCGCTAACCCCATGCCCAACCCTCCTCCTTTACCCGGGCTTGGGACCGGCAGTAACTCTAGAAGAGCTACAGGCGGAGTTATCATTTGTATCTGTAGGAAATTAAATAGTGTGCTATCATAATATATTGAATTCGAGTCGGTAAATAAAGTTCAACTGCATTTGATGGTGATTGTGTTGGTGTAATATTTTGCTCAGTTCAACAAATACAATAAACTCACATACAGTACATTGTGTTGAATGCTAAAATTCCCACACGTAACTGAAGCTTCATAGATGCTCTTCCGACAATTGAATTTTTGGATAATAATCAAAAACATTGACCAAACAATATCGTTCAACGACATTAATGTTTAACTTCAAGTAGTCCATGACATTGCGTGACTGTCTAGCAATAACCACAGTGAGTAAATGCCTCACAACAGACACGGTTGAATTCCATTAGTCATAGCTTGTCACTAGAAATCATGGAAATCCATCTTGAAGACAGTCACCTGTGAGCACATGATAAGTATCAGTATAGGATTGTGGAGATTGTTGAGTGTAAATTGATTTCGTGAATAGGTGGGGCCCCACAGTAATACAAAACGGCCGTCATGTGCTTCCAGGCTTTCAAAGATGGTCTAGTTTATATCGACTCATGAATTCAACTACTAAATCAATATTATTCAATTGATTTCAGATCATCAACAAGTTTGCGTATTTGACGCCTGAAAATATGATAGACTTTTAATTCACATACATGTTGTCAAAATAACAGAACGAAAACCACATTGAAGGATAACTTTTCATCGATTAAAATGTCATGCCGATAACGATCAATAATGACCAAATTATTAGGAAGAATTTGCCTAGAAATTATTAATATAGTTATTTCAAATTCACTTGGATAAGTTACCTTGTCCCGAAGAGGAAAACACGAAGTTCTGTATGTTGCTAAGTAACATGAATACTATATCAACATTCTTGCCTCCTATCAAGTATTAACAGGGATATGTGTAGTGTGTAACTATTACAAATGAGATGAATCCAGCGCACTGACAGAGTTTGCGTTTGTTTTACTATATAGAATGGACGAGTGATTCACTGACGTAGATTTCGCATACGTGCCACAGTGATCTTCAGGATTTTATTGGCAAACCTGTAAACAGATTACAGGATATATCTTTTCGTCTAAACATTACCATCGAATAACATGTTTGTCTATCACATTCTAAACGAATAGTGCTTATGTATGGAATCATGAACCATACAGTGTATTAAGTTGATATTATCATTTCGCATGCTTCATGTCAAAATATTTTGTATCAATGCTTATTAAGCAACAGTTAAATAACAGAGTCCGTTCAAGTTGTAAGTGTTTTATATCTGTGTTTCTGAAAGACATTCACTTGCCCAAGTCTTCATGCTCAACTAATTTACGTTTTCAGGATAATTGTCCAAAATGAAAGAAAATCAAATAGAGCAAACCATTTTCTAGTTACAGTTGAAGGAGAAATTCATTTGTTGAACTTGATTAATCAATATCCATTGGATGTATCTGTATTTTGAACATTAATTACAGCTTGTTTCAATTTGATATAAATTTGATATAACTTCATTTCAGTTTTGCATGTATAAGTTGACCATGGTCAAGTATGTGTTGCTTGATAAATATAAATTGTTTCAGTGTTTAGTTTGAGACATTCTGATGATGAAACTTGTATGAATTAGACTATGGTAGTGCAGTGCTTCGCTAAACTTTCACATCGATAACCATTATAATACAAATCTTAACGGTGCATGAATTTATTAGGGATACTCCTCGTAGCATCTTCGTCGTCTCTGCCTATTCCCCCACTGACTGCAACTCAGATGATATAAAAGATGAGTTTTTCAGAAAAATTTACGACCTTCTCCGAGAAGCTAGGCGTTCTGATGTAATAATAGTGGCTGGGGACTTTAATGCTCAAGTAGGTTGGACACAACTCTATCACAACGCTGTCAGCCACCAATGGAGGGGCTCGATAAAAGACTGCCGCTCATTCTGGAGCGCACGTTTAGATTCAGATCATTCTCTAGTGCAAGCACGTATCTGTCTGCGTCTGAGTGAACGTCGGAAAGACACTGCAAAAAAAACCCCTTAGGGTTCTTCTTATTGATAGGCAAGCTGTGAGTATATTTCAGAAACAAATAGAAAAGTTGAGCCCACCCCAAAGTAGCGTGAAATGACATCCGAAAAGCTGTGGAAACAGCAGTGATATCTGATAGTACGATAAACCATAAGGTTAGGGAGAAACCCTGGATCTCAGCAGCATCCATCGCACTGAAAGATGCTCGAAAACCCTGAACAAAACGAAGAGCGGAGTCAACATAAGCGCAGGCTAATAAGAAGCTTACGCAATAATTGTGAACAGTAGTGGGTAGCGAACGCAAGAGAGATGAAAAAGGCGTCGGCCATATGTAACAGCAGACAACTATTCAGACTTTTTAAATAAACCGGTCTTACGAACCCAACTACCAGCGAAACCAACTTGGAATAAGATGGACATGTTATTCATTCTCAATACAGGAGTTTGGAACGACGGGCAGAACACTCCAGAGATCGGTTCAACTGGCTTACAGCCACACTTAGGTTTCTCACGATCCCCAGTCAACTAAATGGCAAGTTAATGTAAGTCCACCAACACTTTACGAGGTTGAAAAAGCTACAGGAAAACAGAAGTAAGGGAGAGCAGCAGGCCCTGACATGTTTACCCCTGAGATTTTTCAGGATGACGGTCCAGTACTAGCAGCAAAATTGACTAAGGTCTTAGGTAGAATCGGGGAACTGGACGTAATTCCATCTGTCAAGTCCCAATCACTGATTGTGCCAGTCTATAAGAAAGGAGAAACGTTTACTTGTGGCGATCGCAGAGGAATCAGTTTGACTAATATTGTGTCTAAAATATTAGCTTCAATAATACTTTGACGCCTAACCAAAGCTCGTGAAGAGCAGACTAGAGAAAACCAGACTGGTTTTCGCGTGGTTGTTTAGACCAGATATTCACTCTATGTCAGGTCCTAGAACATAGACACACATTCAGAAGCCCCACAATAGTAGTATTTCGCGAACTTAAGGCAGCATTTGACTCTATTGATCGTGAAGTTCTGTGGCAGTGTTTGTCACTGAAAGGAGTACCAAAGAGACTCACTTGTTAATTTAGAATATCCCGATGACATAGTTCTATTTGGTGAAGACGCTGACAAAATGCAAAGTCTTCTGACCAGCATAAGCAACTATTCAGGCACGTTCGGGATGCGATTCTTACCCTCGAAATATAAAATGTTAATTCAGGGATGTGTTGCATCGAAACCTGAACTAATGATAGTAAGCGAAGTAGTTGAGTGTGTTGACCACTTCACTTAACTTGGGAGTCTCATCAGTCCTTATGGTCTGGTGTGTGCAAAATCTCAATACGGATGCAAATCCATGAATTCTCTCATAGGTGGACTTAGCCATGTTGGTAGGTGTAGACTACCTGGTTGGGATCCGTAAGATGATAGCCATCAGTAGTTAGTGACTTTGAATTACATGGCTCAAAATGGTTCGCAATGGCGAGGGTGCACCCCTTCTTCCCGTTCTACCAAATTCTTATCCTCTGAATTCTTCATGTCTCTATCTTTTTCTATTTTCAAATTCATTTCACTGGATTATACTCCTTAAATAACATCGTCAGACACTAAGCTTTCCGATTACTGTTTATACTCTTACTACTTCTACCATTATGGGAATTGAATCGACAACTTCATCTCTGTGTTAGTGTGGTATGGCGACTCGAACTAATGTGCGTACGTACGAAGTTCAACGTCGTAACTGACTGTTCGTTTGATAGTTGATTCACTGTCATTTCCCTTTTTGTTCCAAAGCTGTTGTTATTTAAACGTGATCATCAGTACTCCATTTTTCAACCTAATGATTAGGTTTGGACACGATTTCATTTTCTCATTGTTTGTGCGTTGTGGTCCTGTTAATTATTTATTCATTCATATATCTTTTTGAACTAACCTGAATCGAAGCCGAATTGTAGTGTGAATCGGAATTGGGAACAAATCAGTTGGTGTACCAGTTGACTTGTTTTCTGTCTGTCTCTCACGCCTTTCAATCAATAAGATGATAGAATACATCTCGTCTCTCCACGCAAGGCTGTTAGTCACACTTTGAACACACTCGATTCCATCTTGAAGGTTGAACCAGTCAGTTTATAGTGTTAAGGCCTTAATCAAGACTGAAGAGACAAGTTACTCTCTGTATATTAGCTGGTAGACAGATCAAGAACGTAACGAAAAAGAAACGACATTTCGTACATAATGTATGTTTAAAATAAAAATATAGTCATATGACATATAAGTTCATTGTTCAATGTTCGAAATGAGTATTCAAAATAAATTGTATTTGATCTAGTTGATCAGCAGATAGTTGTTCAATTGTAGATATTTTATTTTCCGTATTCATTTATCTTGGACAATTTTCCTGAAATTTAAAAATTTGGAGAATGAAATATACATTGCTTGCTACATTTAAATGCATAAACATGAAATCGAGAAACTGACAAACATAGGTTTGACGAAGCTGACTCCAAGAAACTGGCTACTATAATTGAAAAGAACACTATTAGACTTATATCAGATTCATTTCCGCAAATGTACTCTATGTGAACATCTTTTCAGAATTGTGATCATAGTCAAAAATTCAGTAGAAATGATTGTCAAACCTTTCAGACTGCATGAACGTTTAAATCACTTTAAGTAAATCGAAAGACAGATATGCGATCTGATATCGAACACTCGGAACTACAGTTGGTGTAACGTAAACACACATCAGTTCATTTTCACTGAAAATCTTTTCATCACTACACAATGCGTTCATCAACCATGTCAATCTAAGCATTTCACTGAGAGATTTATGTCTTACGTGCGAAGTAAATTGTAAAAGTTACATTTTCGACAGACTAGTAAGATGAACAATTTAGACTTGTTATCTGCATTATGGTTCATTTCTAAATTACTCTACCCGTTTTAAAGTGAATCGGGCACTGGAGATACTTTCTGAATTAATTGAAGTATATTTAATACTCTGAATCATATAGAAAGTTATTCTACTGTAGGAAAACTACAAAGGACCTAGTCAGAAAGATACATGTTCGGTCGATAATTGCCTGACTAGTTTGGACCTTATGGACTAGTTATATCAACGAGAAGTTACAGTATCATAATACTGATCTGAGTCACTAATGCTGACCCTATCTCATCAAGCAAGATCAGTTTTAGCATAGTCGTTAAGTAAAAATACATAATTTACAAACCTCTACTCCGAAGTCATACATTTGTCCATAATCGTCAAACAGACTGAATCCTTCACCTTCATGTAGCAGTTACTCAATATGGGCGACTTCGACATTAGTTGCTGAAATACATATTGTGTACAGCCTTATACACTTACGAATATTCTTTGTTCAGGAGTAATATGTAGTGAGCAAGTTCACCGATGGCAACAATCGAATTTATTTGAACTCAAACTTACATAACGTTTTAGTAAGATCTGAAAATCATACAGTAAATAACTCGTTTGCAAATTATCAATCATTTGTCTCAAACGTGAATGATCCTTCTGCAAATATCACTCAATCGTCTCAGGTTTCATTGTTCTGCATTTTTGTGCCAATGGCTTTTCGTTTCCGTTCTTTCTTTCTCGATCTTCTACTAAAATGAATTCTATCCCTGATTATCGTTATATACTACTCATGTGGATATAAGTACCTCACACTACACTACTACCATGGTATCATATGAATGAAGAATAATGATGATGATGTTGCATAGTACCATAATCATTCGTTACATCATCATGTTTGTTCCTTGCGCATATGTCATCATGGAACATTTTTTGTACATTCATCTAGGTCAACTTGCATTATATGACAACATGAGAAGTATACATATATGAATAATAATGCACATAGGGAACCACTCCAACTAACATTGCAAATAGATTGACATTGTGGACAATATATATCCGTAGAAAATTCAACATTTTGTACTTCCAACTTCAAAGGAGTTGGTTCAGTTCTAGAGCGACACGGGAAACTCTTTCCATTTATAATCACTTGAATATCAGCATTCTTTGAACATTTAAACTGAAAAGAAAATTCATAGATAATTCAAACAATCATGTAGGATGTTTCTATCGAGAGAAATGTTTTAAGTACTTTTAACATAATGTATAATACCAGCAGGTGAAAATGATTTGAACATTTATGACAAGAAATAACATAATTAAAGAGAAATAGCAATTATTTTAATGATGACCTTTCTGTTTACATTAAGTCAACAATCATAAACTTCAGAAATATTTACCCTGATGATGATGACGATGATGGTGATTTCATAAAATTTCTAATTCTTAGATAACCATTTGTAGATGTTTCATAATCAATACAGATGACGATATCAAAATTGATGTTATTTTATGTATATTCCAATAGGAATGACATTCTTGGCTAATTGTATAGTTATAAACTGTGAAATCGGTTTTAGTTTGTATGTGTGATAAAACACACATATTTAAATATGATTGAGGGTGAACTTTGTAGGAACTTACTTTATGACATGAAGACGTTCTAGAATATGTTTGCCTGGATGTTTTATTTTGTCTCACGAACTTCCCGTGATCAAAACAGGTTGAATCTGGACCCAGATCCTCCAGATATGCATTATTTATTAGATCTGTTAAAAAACGTATAATTATTTACTCAATTTAGGCATGAAATCACTGAAAGAAGAATAATAGCCTACATTGAACACGTGCTGAACATGAATTTCATATAAAATAACGAATACTTTTTATTCAGTGAATAATTGTGTTCCATCTGTATAATTGTATCAAACGTTACAGTACAATTCAACTTGAAACCTTAATCTAAAGCTTCTAGCTGATTATATTTGATGACAAAAATCAACATATGCTGTACGTATTCTCCAGTTATCTCATCGTGGTTGAAGAACACAAAATATTATCAAGATGACTTTTGGTATTTGACCGAATGGCAGTCAGTCAGCCACAACGTTGAACTTTGTACGTACGCACATTAGTTCGAGTCGCCATACCACACTAACACAGAGATGAAGTTGTCGATTCAATTCCCATAATGGTAGAAGTAGTAAGAGTATAAACAGTAATCGGAAAGCTTAGTGTTTGACGATGTTATTTAAGGAGTATAATCCAGTGAAATGAATTTGAAAATAGAAAAAGATAGAGACACGAAGAATTCAGAGGATAAGAATTTGGTAGAACGGGAAGAAGGGGTGCACCTTCGCTATTGCGAATGATTTTGAGCCATGTCATTCAAAGTCACTAACTACCAATGGTTATCATCTTGCGGATCCCAACCAAATAGTCTGAATCTACCAAGATGGCTGAGCCCAGAGAGAGACTTCAGAGACTTCAGGGATTTGTATCACGTTTTGTTTTGGCCGCCCCTACCTTTCTTCCAACCTACTCCTACACCATAAAACATTGCACGTCGGGTCAGTCGGTGGTTGGACATACGTAACACCTGTCCCAGCCATCTCAACTGATGGGTTTTCACTACTTAATCATCTTTACCTAGTACCCGTTTCCTAACAACTGCATTACTTACCAGGTGGTCCCAAGATATAAGAGCAAAGTTTCGAAGACATCTATGATCGAATTCTAGTAGCCTACGAATATCCTCTACTTTTATCGGCCTTGTTTCACTGCTATAAAGTAGAACGGAACGAACTGCTGCACAGTAAATGCGTTCTTTGATTGCTAGACGGATATGTCGCCTGTCATAAATAACGCGTGTTGGCGAAAGCTAGACGAGCCTTATGTATCCGTGCTGGGATCTCATCACACACCAGACCACAAGGGCTAATGAGACTCTCAAAATAAGTGAAGCGGTCAACACGCAACGGAAATTTGATTTCAACTGACAGTTAATTCGCCCGTTTACATATTTAACACTAATATCTCCGGCTTCACAGATTCTTTCGAATCATTCAAGTACGTTTATAAATATACATCTGTGTTCTTGAGTGTTTGTTTGTTTTCCCTTTGTACAAATTGGCATTTTACACATGTTCATATTTATTTTTACATGTATTTTTTGAATGAACATAAAAGATCTCAATATGAGTACTTTCATATTCGACTTATAGACAATACATGAAATAAGTGGAAAAAAGTGAAAACAGTATGTATATATAAATATATATTCTTATTTAAATTGAATACTTTTATCAGCAAACCTGGTTTTAAGTTCCGACTGAATCTGCATACTGATGGTCGACCATCGCTTAGTAGAAACATCTGTGAAGAATTAAGCATAAATATGGTATATAATGTTTATAATGATATCAAATCATTGAAAAACTTTTCAGTTTTAAAAAGTAGATTAACAATGATCCAGTTATACTAATTTACTTTAACTATGTCAAACTAATGATTTTATTAGTAGTATTGTTTTGTTAAACACTTATCTAATTTTATTCATAACAATAGTGACGATCAGTTGAAATTAAACATTAACACCGTTAGATGTTGGCTGAGTGGTCTATCGGTTAAGGGTTTTGGCTTGTAACTGGTAGGTCATGGGTTTGAATCTCGTTCACGAGAGCTTATTCAAGGATGCACACTGTTGAGAAGTCCCATAATAGGACGAAACGGCCATCCAGTGTTTTCAGATTTTTGATAGTGGTCTAGCTTCAATTGACTCATGATTTCAACTGTGAAAATACTAAATTCTCCACAAAACCCCCTCTGATATATAAAATAAAAATAAGATCGAATCGTTAATGTTTTTTGGATGACTAATATGATGTGTTAACTTGAATCAGTTTATAAGTGAAATGAAATCGTAATATAAATGATCAGAATATATATAGTTGACATGGGGGTGAGAGATACAACAATGGGATTACAAATCGGAAATTACGTAATATGTAGAATTATATAAATTAGGTCAGATATAGTAGATAGAGGGTGGATGACGAATAAATTTCTCTAAAAGGTTAGCAAGTGTGATAATAATCATAATAATAATAATAAAGATAATAATAAGAAGAATAATGACTGATAAGATGTGTAGATAAACTAAGTTTGAGATATAGAAGTGAACATTAATCAAATTAATGTCACCATATTACAAAATTGATCATTAACAAGTTGGCCAGGGTAAAAGGAGCGGCTGTACATATTTCTTTTGGATGCAGAGCTCTGGCTTTTTGATCCGAATAGCAATTGCCTCAGCCGTCTGCAGGATTCTCTGTCTGACAGAATTAGGTAGACTACTATTAACACGATATATTACTGTGAAGGATTGCTCGATGTCGGCTCTATGTCCCGTCTGAACTAAATGGGCTAAAACAGAGCTGTTAACCGTTCTGACTACACCTTTGCTTAACCACACTGGAAGGTGTTCACGAGCCCGAGTATACAAATTCCTAGAACATCTGGCTATATAACTTGCTCCACAGGAGCAGTTGAATTGATAGATACAGAAGGAAGTGGCTAGTCTAGGCAATTTATCTTTCAACGTCGGCGTGATCATTGGGCGTGTGGAAAACATTAGTTGAAATGTTTACCTGCATTAAAAGTCCTTTCGATTGATCTTAGTAGTTTCAATCTTACCATTTCGCTAGGTGCGTCACCTCTGAATTGTAGACGTATATACAGAGGCTTTTTATTCACAGTTAAACATTCTTTATGGTCTCTTTTACTAGTTATGTTTTTGTTTATAAATTTCTCCGGGTATCCATTTTCCCTCAGGGTCATATATAATCATTTTGTTTCTTCTTCGACCGTATCTTCAGAGCATATGGTCTTAATTCTATAGTGTAATGTCTTAATTAGGTTCCTTTTGTACTGTAGAGGAACAAAAGTAAGAAAGTTAGTATACTGACCCGTCCACGATGTTTTCCTGTTGATATTTCTCTTTAGTGAACCGTCTTTTCTCCTTGTAAGGAGAACATCTAGAAAAGCGATCCTAACTCCATTTTCTTCCTCACATGTGAATTTTATAGACGGATGAGTTGTATTGAATAGCTGCAGTGTCTCCATTAAGTCATTATAGTCATTACATAGGATGAACGTGTCGTCCATATATCAGCAATAAAGTAAAAACTTTTCAATCTGTTGTGTGAGTGGCCCGTTTTCTAGTTTTCATCTATTTTGAAGATCATTCAAATCAATTATACAATTGATTTCATTTCAATAAAATCGAAGAGAAATCTAATACTTTTAATTACAGATTTTAATAAAGTTTATAAACAATTTTTTAAAGAATAATTATAATTTTTGATCTATATTAATCAAGTTTATTTTGTTCAATTAATTTAATAATTTTCATAGTTAAGATCATGAGTCAATTGAAGCTAGACCACCATCGAAAACCTAGAAGCACTGGACGGCCGTTTCATCCTATTATGGGACTCCTCAGCAGTGCGCATCCACGAACCCGCTCTCGCGAGCGAGATTCGAACCCAGGACCTACCAGTCTCGAGCCGGAGCCCTTAACCGATAGACCACTGAGCTGGAATCCAACGGTGTTGATGTCTAACCTCAACCAATCCACGAAATTGCGCAACCAACTTCCAATGTACTGAGGTAGATACCTGTCTCTACCTGAGATGGATTAGCTCCACTGGCCACGACTTCTCACTAGAACTCCAGGAATTACCTCAAGGAGCCAGTCCCTAGTGAGCATATGATCATTATCACAAGGGGGGTTTTTGTGGAGATTTAGTAATTTTATAGTTAAGATCATGAGTCAGGTTTTCGATGGTGGTCTAGCCTCAATTGACTAATGATCTTAACTATAAAATTACTAAATCTCCACAAAAACCCCCCTTGTGATAATAATTTTCATTTGACCCCACCCCACCCCACCCCACCCCTCTTCATAAAAATAATGAATTTTCGAATGGATTCTTTCCTTGAAAACATGATTTTTTTTAAAAAAAAAAAAAAGAAACAATATGATTTAATAAAAAATTTTTATAAACTATTATAACTTACTTCATAGGTAGGACAATAATCAAACATTTCAGAACCAGCATAATATGTTCGATTTTCATATGATACATTAAATGTATTATCGATATATTGATAAGGTAATGGTAATTCATTTTTCATTTGTTTTATTACACAATAACCTATTGCTTTATCATAATTTAAACATTTTTGATGTTCTGGATTATCACAAAATGGTTGAATATCTTGTTTTCTAAAGAAAAAAAAAATTTAAAAGTCAAAATGTACATGATAAGCAGAGATGGATATTAAGGTGTATCGAGGCAATACGCACAGTATACACATATGCCAATTAGAAACTGATCAGTTGCAGTCCTAAACACATCGATGGGAAGATCAAAACAAACAATACTGAGTGAATTCAAAATGTACATGTTTTAAACTTGTTTTCTAATCAGATGATTTTTTTTTTTGGATCATATTTTATAATTTTTCTACTAAAATGGAATATATGAAAGATATGAGATTGATTAGATTACACAATTATGTAAGTTGAATAGATATGATTCAAAGTACTGGATAGCTGTTTCGTTCTATTATAGGAATACTTAGTAGTGTGCATTCAAGATCTCACCTTATGAGATTTGAAAGCAGAATCTATCAGTTTCATGCGCAAACGATTAAAATCTACACCGCTATACTGGTATTCAACAGTGTTAATATTGAATTCAACCAATCAATGAAATTCAGAAACCATTCACCATTGTCTTCAGTGAGTTACAATCTTCCAGCAGACATAATTGAATACCATTGGTTGTTGTATCTTATTAGAATTCTAGGAAATACCTCTTGGATTCAGTCATTAGTAAGCATTTGTTTATATATAAATATAATAAATAATGGATCTAAACATATTAAGATTATTTATCTCTTAGAGGTTTATTAAATCTATTGAAATAAAGAAATGTAAACAACTAACCTTAATTTCATTTGATCATTTTATTAAAGTCATTATCTAGTATATCTACTGAACCTTGAATTATTCTACAATTTTTATAACTGTATCACATTACAGTAAATTAGAAATTTCTTATTTTAATACTTTCATTGATATGAATGATTAAAACAATATAATGATTAAACATCAAGTCATCTTCGTAAAACGTTATTCTTAGCCATATTAGCAAAGAATTGAAGAGAACAATATTTCAAATGATACATCAGAATAAACACACACACACACACACACACACAAATGAAAAGGTTTCGAATATACATATAAAGAGAGATAGTTCAGTTTAATCTTACAATAATTTTCTTTTCTCAATATATTCGTAACAACTCTTCATTACAAAATCACAACCTAAGCCTTTTCCCCATTTGAAATCATCGGCCATAGAATAGTCGACATTGTACATGCTTTTAAAAAGTAAAATAATATTCAATGAAAAATAAAATTGTTATAAAAATCTTTTATATTTCTAAAGAATAGTCTAATAGAAATTCTATGCTAAATATATTTTAAAGATATGATTGTGTAGTGAACAAAACACTGGTTGGGGACAATCGAATATATTTAAGCAAAGATTACAGACTATCTCAGTAAATTCTGATTACCAAACAATGAACAGTCAATTTGCAAATTAACAATCAATTGTTTTAATCTTCACTGTTTCTTCAATAATTCCATTGTTCATGCACTTTCCAAACGATTGCGCTTCATTTCAGTTCTTTCCTCATCGGTCTTGTGTCAAAATACAATCTATGTCTGACCCACACCATATACTACTTATATAGATATAAGTAGATCACACCACAATTGGATAATTCCAACGTAAAATATCTATGGTGCTATGAATTTGCATATTTGTGAAACGTCTACAAATTATAGGCTTATAGCAACTATCCTACAATCGATTACGGTTATGGTCAATTTTGTTTAAGCCTTTTTGATTAACCTACTTAACAGTCTAGGTCATTTGGATAATAACAGTTTGCATATTTCTTTGTACTGTTAATGACCACTAGAGCACATGATATTCTATCCGAAATGTTGATTGCTTAGATATCATTCGATAAATCATACTCCGCCCCCAATATATGTATTCACGCAAATCCTATTATCAGCTTCTGTTTTGTTTTGCTGTGCCTTTGTTCACTTTCACTATAAATTGCCTATGTAATTGCTTGAACTGTCCACTGCTCACTGCTCGCTGATATTAGCTTATGTGCTTGTAACCTTTTGGCTTGAGTCATTTGTCAATAAATTTTACTTGCCGCTTCTCTTTGTCTTCTGATTTTACGTACCCTTAAGGTTGGTATTATTACGGTTATTCAGGTGATCGATTGACGAAGCACGGCACTACAGATCAGAAAGATAATAATTTATTAGAAATTTTGAAGTACACAAGTATTTACCGTCATAATGTATGACAATACTATAGTGTTTAATGAAGAGATTTAAACATATACATATATATTTTACTTGAAATTGAGTGATTGTATCTTGTAGATGTTCACTAATAAATAGCATCCATGCTGGTCTAACTTCAATTGACTCATGATTTCAACTATGAAAATACTGAAATCTCCACAAAACCCCTTCTGATCTATAATTTTGTTTGTTAAATAAACTACTACTCAAATTGTTCACTACTCACAAAACTACTACATAGATTACTCAAAACAATAAATTTGTCTAATCTGTTTAGAAAGCGTAAGGATATAACAAAGCTTATGTGAAACCAATGAGTTAATATATATATATATATATATATATATATATATATATATATATATATATTACACAACCACACCTAAGTCTACTACTTTAGTATGCATAACTTACTTTGTGTCCTTAAAGTAAGCCAGAAGTATTCTAGAAACCAGATTTGACTCAAGTCTAACAGGTGTCATAATATCATTCTGTGAAATAAAAAGATAATAAATGGTAGAAAGCATGTTTACGTGCATCTTTTTTTTATTTAACAAGTATAACTGTGAAGAAGCTTCTTTCAACTAGGATCTACAATTGATATATATCCTATGGTGTCATTTTATGATATTATTAATTGATATACGGATATTTTGAATGTGAATTCACCAATAATTTCACAGATTCAACACTTATTGTATTAACTATTCCATTTGATTTGTTTTAATACATTATGTGAGCTATTAATCTCACAACTTATTCAGGTGTAATCAGAGATGGATATATCGAGGCAATATGCACAGTATGCACATATGCCAATTAGAGACTGACCAGTTGCAGTCCGAAACACATCGATGGAAAGATTCAAACAAACAATACCAAGTGAATTATTCAGGTGTATTTCTAAAAAGTGTACATCTTTTCATTGTAAAAGCCACAAACGGCCTAATCAGAGATATCGTAGTTGCTGATAGGTAATGTGCAAGTAAACAAAAATGTACATTATTCAAATGTTAATTGAGTAGACTGTTAACTTCTAACTGGAGATCATTGAATATTTATTGTCAGGATAGACAAAGAAGTAAGAAATAGAAACTTGTTGATATAATTTTTTGCTGAGAATTCTATCGTTTCTAGTAAAATACTTAATCAAATTTAGCCATTAAATAAATCAATTGAAACATAACAGATATAATAGACAATATAACGCGATGGCGTTTGAAGCGAGGGTACTGGGTTCGAGTCCCAGAGTGAACATCAACTCGGAGATGCAGGTACATCCAGCTGACGAGTCCCAAATAGGACGAAACGCGCATCCCGGATTCCACTACTAACCACTATCCATCTCTGCTTACTATAATAGACAATATAGTTTTTCGAAAGAAAAAAAATCATCAAACATATTATCGTATTATCATCTTCAAAAGAAAAAATCTATGGGAAAAAATCAAACATCATTGATGTCAACTAATAATCAATTGCTTTTCACAATTGATTAATCACTAATTGGTGACCAATGTCATGTGTGTTAAATTTTTCTCAATGCAGATTGAATGCTAAAGATCAAATTGTAATATTTTCACTAGTCTAGGTGTCTTGACATTGTATGTACTATGTTGAGATAAGATGGTGTTTGGAGATAGTCAACAGGAAATCCTGGACCCGGGTTTCATGCTACTTAGTACCCGTCAGCAAAGTGTACCTGTAATCTTGAGGGAATTGATGCTCCCTGATGGATTTGATCTCTTGTCAACCAGCTTCATAGTCAGAAATGTTAACACTGAGTCATCTTATTTAAATCTGTAAAATGTTACTAATTTTTTCGAAATACAACATAGTTCTAAAAGATAGAAACTGAAATCATCTGGTTTTTGAAGATCATAAATGAATTCATAAATCATGATATTTCACTTCTTAAATGTTTTACTGGTTTATGTCAGTATTAATAAATAATAGAGTAATGAAGTCAATGTGTATTTCAAAAATTTAAAAAAAAAAAACAAAACAACTTACACCCATAATTCTATGACTAAGATGGTTCTTATCTAACTGAATTCCTGGAATTTCATTGCAACCAAAATGTTTTCTTGCTTCTGACTGTTTATTGATATCCAGTGGTAAACGATAATTAAAAGTAAGTTGAAAATAATAGTTTACAGTAATCTGATCTAATGTTTTTAATAAATGTAAATGGCTGGGGTAAGGAGGGGGTGATGAATTCATTAAACACGTTTCATAGGTGTAATCTATTACATTTTAGGCAGTTGGTTGAATGAACCTTCAATTGAAATGGGTATATCTCTGATGGATTATCTTCAAGATCATTTCTGTGACTCTGCTTAGTATATCAATCATTCTCATTCCAGTGGTGTGTAGAATTCAGATTAAATTATAAAATGTTGACTGCAGTTCATTATCGAATAGCATAGATCGCATAGTTACAAGCATATAAACTAAATCGGAAGCGAGGTGTGAAAGCTAGCAACCGAGCAAATACAGTGATGTAATAAGAGTCAAGTAAATTAATAAGATTCAAGCACATGCATATATGAAAGAGAATGATACATCGAGAGATTTAGGCAAACAACATTTGAGTTGGAGATCAAGTACACATGATAATCCATACATGATTATAATAATACAATGACGATGTACTACTGGTTAAATGACACTTTCTGTTAAATATGTTAATTGAAAGGCTTGACAAAAACATAAGCAGACAAAAGTATAAGTCAATTGCTATATACTATGTTCTATTTATCCATATGTTTATTGTTTAAAGTGCTCAAAATATCCAATAATAATAAAATTACTTAAATCCAGATTAAACTATTTTTAGATGGTGAAGAAGATTTGTAGCTCGGGTGTATGATTTGAGCTGAATGGTTTGGTCGTGGAGCTTTCATTTTCCTTCTGAACGAAATCCTCTCGCAATGGAAAATGCAATCGAGACAAAGGAATAAAAATCATGACAGATTTAAGGTCTACAAGAACCAATCAACATTGAGGTATACAGGACAAGCTGTGAACCACATGTGGAGAAATTCAAACATTTCACTTCTACCCAAAGTTTGTGCTGATGATGTCGTTCAGAAAAATGATGAAATCTCCACGACCAAAACATTCAGCTCAGAGAATAATACTCCATCAAAATTAAACTATCTTAAACTATGAATGAAATGCCAAACAATCATAATTATACTTACAAATATATGTATCTAGAATGAAATCTATCTTAAACTAACAATGTTTTTTTTAGATAAAGTTTAAATGACTAAATCGGAAACAATTTAATTCAATTTAACCGATTAAACAAATTTCTCAATAATTAAAACGATTAAATATCCTGATATTTTATTCCAATATATAGTCCTTGGTAGTCAAGCCCCCAAATGCCCTGGTACGGCCGAGAGTGGGGAGAGTCTACTCTCTCTCTCGAAATGCTCGCACATGGCCAGCGAATATATAGCCTCTTCCAGGGAAGTCCTACTCACTGCCTTCTCGTGGCATTACTGTTGTTTACGAAAGTGAGAGGACGAAAAGCGAATGTCCGACGCTTTAATCGGGTTGGTGGACACGGAGGGTCCACCTAGGGGAGTTGGAAAACCCTGATTCCAAACCAATGGTGCACATGGGCTCCAGTATCCTGATGGAACGAATGGCGGACGAACCTGTCATTGGTCAACGGCTACCATGGGACTGCATCTCCTCACGATGCTCCATTGCCTTGTGGATCAGACCTTTTGGTCAAAGGCTCGGGGTGTGGCCCCCTAAGAAAACCACCTGCTTCGGTTTGGGCACCCGGGCAGTATCACAGCCCACACACACAAATAGTGTGGCGCATATGTACCTGGTGCCCTTTTGTACCAATATATATGTGTTTAAATAAATAAATAAATAAGTGATTATTTAATTATGTGTAGTACATTTAATTCAGTACACTTCAGATGAAAAGTAAAATGATTAATTTGTGATTAAGTAATTTAATATGCAACTTACAAGCATATTTGGTAATCTCATTATCGTTTTTTGTATATCGAAGATACCTCTAACTGATTTCCATTTTATAGTAATATTTTGAATAGGTCTTGGACTTAAAACAAAAAAATGAATAGAAATGTAGAAGTTTTTCATAATTTCAAATATTATTCATTATATTATTTAAGTAGAAATTGTATTTGTTTTTAAATATACAGTTAAACATAGGCATTAACCTCTATCTCACAAACTTTAGTTATCATAGTTGAAATAATGAGTCAATTGAAGCTAGAACATCATGGAAAACCTGTAAGCACTGAACGGTTGTTTCATTCTATTGTGGGACTCCACAGCAATGTGCATCCAAGATCTCGTCTCGCGAGATTCGAATACAGGACTTATCGGTCTTGCTTGCAAGTGCTTAACATCTAGACCACTGAACCAGCATCGAACGGTGGTAATGTCTAACTTCAACCAATCCACGATAATGAGCAACCGTTCACCATTGTCTTACTATCTCACAACATACCTGTTGAACTGTACTGGTCACTGCCTCTCACTAGGACTCTAGAAAATACCTCTTAAAGTCAGGCATTAGTGAGCATATGATAATTATCAACATAATTATCTCTTCAAACTTCTGTATCATAGAGATGCATGCGAATAAGATCCATCTGGTTTTATTTTCGTACATAACTCTTAAAGCTTGATTACTATCAGGTTATTGAAATAACAATACAATTATATAACAATTCGGAGACCAAAACAACCCTTGGTTATTATATACTTAAATGCTTACTTTTTATTGGGTAATCGAAATTCAGGTTTTAAATCCGGTAACGAATAAAAGATGTCAGGATGGAATCCCTTGAAATATAAACAGAAATAAATTCATTATGGAAAAGTTTGACAGAATGAAGATATGAGATATTCAGTAACTGAATTAATGTGTGATGATGGACATAACTGAAAAAGACGGAACAGATGCTGATTAAAATTCTAAGGAAGAAGAAAGATGAGTTTATTATTAATTGTGATCTCTATGAACATTTCAAACCATCGGGTTTCGTTATTCCAAGACTATATGGACTCCCAAATGTTCTTAAGAATAAAAATTCAATTCACTTTCGAAGCAGAGACAAACCATGAATTTCATTTTCTTGATGGAATGGACAATACACAAATTTACATAGTTGGGTCCCATTGAGTAGAAAGAGGAACTTAATTCACTCTTTGTCCTCTAGGATCAAGGGAATCTGTTCCAATGACACAATAGATGAAGAACTATTTCACCTTCGACAGACCCTCACCAGAAATGGTTATCTGTTATATACTAGGAAAAAAGTAAGTACTGATAACTTACGGGACCTCTTATTAGACTATTAATCTATTTATATTCCTATGGTATAACTATTCAGTAACTGGATTAACTATGTCTATATTCATCTTATTACTAGCTTCATTTTGACCTATTGATTATTATTATATGATTTATTGTTCCTAAATTATACTCGGTTTATTGAGTACTGTCTCCCACGCTTCCAGCCACGTTTGGCTTGATTTTATACAAATATTTTTTTCTATTTTATGGTGTGGTGCGGTCTGCCTGTTTGGTATATAGACAAAGTATGTTTGAAATAAACGATTTGCATTACAGCAGCTGCTATTAGTGTTTTGGACTCAAGTGGATGGGTTAGGCGGATAAGGACCAATAAGGACGATAGATTACTCATACTAATCGAACGTAATTGTCACAGTGTGAAGGTCGTAGAAGGCGTATTGTATTGGTAGATAATTTACGCGAATTACGTCATTGTTAAATTCGTAAGGTCATAACAAATCATCGACGACCTTGATCAAGTCATAACAATTGGCTACAGCCTAGGTCAAAGACATAACATTATCCACCTAGGTTTGTCAACAGCAACTTAACACCTAGACGTCATCATGAAAAAGCATCGACAGTACAGAAGAAAACTCTATATAAGAACATGGAATTTAAAAGAGACACGGCTTCTCAACTCCTGAATAAATGGATTTCAAAATCGTTGGATAAAACGTGCTAGTTAGCTAAGCTCCGAATTGTTTTCTCAAGCCAGCCTACCATTCACAGATGTGTAAAGGAATAACTTCTACTTTGGGCCACATCAATATGTATCTATAAATTTACTTGCTCATGTGGGGCAAGTTACATAGGCCACACAAAGCGATCACTATCCAAACGAATCTCGGAATATTATCCGATTTGGCTCTTAAAAAGAGAATGTAAAACAATTAATAGTTGGATACAGGAGAATTTGATTAACTATAGACACATCGCTTCAAAGAAGTCTTCTTTTAAATTAATCTACGGAGTTAAAGAAACTGGATCGAAGGGGGGGGGGTCGAATCAATATTTCATGCACTGCTGAGCATTGGCAATCCACGAACTCAAGTTTGAACTTCGAGTGAAGAAACGATTGGACCAACCTAACATCCTTCAATAACACAATGGGTTATTTTAATTACAAATAATAAACTAATTAAATAATTTAGTTCATATCTATACTAATAACACACTGAACAAAGTATTATCCCCTAGTATAAGTATTCATGCATTCCATTGAACAAATATTACTCAGAAACTTACCAACACATGACCTAATTCATGTATAGTTGTTAACATTAGATCATCATCCTCTGTTGTGAGAATATCCTTCTCCAATCCACAATAGTTCACGACACCTACAAAAGGCCTACATGTGTATATATCAAAACAAACTACTTAGTTTCCATTTAAGTAGTAAATAATTAACAAACAAATTCCAACCTAGAATAATTTTCATATTACCTTGTTTAGCTAAACAATCAACATTGTGAAACTGCAAGTAGTACTTATTGCTCACACCAATGGATTTAAATCCACTGATCCGTATTTCAAACCTTCAACCTACTTAGGATAAACTGCAATATCGTTCAATTTGATTGGTGGACAGTATCGTTACTAATGATGCATCTGAAAACACCAGTCAAGAGTTGTGATGAGGACTACAGGAATTCATCCCATAACCAGTCACTGATTCATATCAATTGTGTGTATTTTATTTACAAAATGTATTCATACAGATTCATTATTACATGTAATTGTTACGTCTGGCCGATTGTGAACGCTATTTCGCTTCTCTAAGCTAGTTCCGTACCCCTGAGCTAGAACTATATACCGACTTGAAGACCAGAGAAAAGGCACAAAGTGTGTGGGAAGCACTTTACCACAGGGTTCCTTTATGTACAGAAAATACAAAGATTTTATAGTAATTTAAGAGTCCTTGAGTGTTACCGAAAGTTCTAGAATACTGCTAAACATAGTAGCAGTGTATAAATCAGCCAATCAGGATCTCCACATGTGACTTTTCCATTTTCATTATTTTAGTAACATAACTTCACATAACTTCTAACTAATCGCTGATGGTTGAAAATGCTCCTTGATGACCCATGAGCTTGTCATGTCGCTTGCGAGAAAACTGAAGGGTCATCCCAACAGTAATGTTAGTGAAATTTGATCTCAAATGTTGACTTATCTTTAGAGTTACTTATATGCAAAGTGGATGTTCATTATTATACCTACACCAAACGCTCATTAATGTTTCAGTAGTTTTCTATTTAACAAACTTTGTTCAAGACATCATTTGATAAAACCAATAGTTTAGGCTGAAGTAATAGAAGATTCATTACTAAATACCATTTTGAACAAATACTTTTAAGGAAATCCAAATGTCTAAACAATTGGAAGGATCAGTCAGATCTGTTGAGTGGAAATATTGTAATAATGTCTTACAGATTTCGTCTCGTTAAGTGTAAATGTAAACAACACATATATAACTCGGCCAAAGGAAAAGAGGAAGACCAAAAAACACAATACGTCGAGAAATGCAGACAGACATGAGAAGAATTAACAAAAACTGGATAGACCTAGGAAGGAAGGCCAAGGACAGAGTAGGTTGTCGAATGCTGTTCGGCGGACTATGCTCCATCGGGAGTAACAGGAGTAAGTAAGTAAAAGTAAGTAATAATATACAACATTAACCTACAACACATGTTTTCTAGATTCGACATTTATAATAAACATGAGATGAGAGATGTATTTGGAGATTGTCAACATTAAAACGTTAACATTTCCAACTTGTCAAATCTGAGTTTTATGCAACAGGGCCACTTATTATAAAACTTTACATAACGACGTTGTCTTAAAATCTGAATTCTTCCGACCATATATCAAGACTACAAAATTAAATGAATTAACTATTTGTGGTGACGTGGTCGACTTTCGTTATTCTGTGGTTGCACAAGTTTTACATAAATAAAACAGATAAAAACACTTACACATTAAAACAGTAAGTGGTAAATGTCAATGACTTGCCTTCCTGTGGTTGGATCTTTTTCACAAAATGAAGCCCATGCAATTACATCTTCACCACATGTATCATTATGTATATTTTTCACAAGAATTAATAATTCATTTGGAGCTATTCCTTTCCCTTCAGAAAATACCATTACATCTTGATTAGATTTGCGTTGATAACATGCCTAAAAATAGGTTCACATGTTATATGACGTAATATGAACATATCCAAGCATTTCATGTACAGGTAATATTTGTGCAATAATTAATTAATATTCTTTATATATCATTACCTTATTAAAGCTAAGCTGTCTAATCTAACCAAACTGTTTGCAAAGAGGAACTCAATATGAGGTTAGCATTCATCACTGATTTATTGCTGTGACAGACAATTATTTCAAACTTAAAACTCTTTTCAATTTGGTGCCTATTCTTACATTAAAGTTCTTTTTTTTTGATAACTTCTCTTGATGAGAAATCTTTACAGTTGAAATTAAGAACTCCATATCTTCCTATTTCAATCAAAGTAACACATAACGTGGAAGTCGTCAGATTTTTTCCAATTGTCATTTACCTCCTAATAGTCTTTTCTTCATTGTTACATTGATCATATATTTGTTTAAGATCAGTTTGTCTTTTCGTTTGTTTAAATATAAATCAGAACTATCTCTGATGAATCTTTTGAAAACATGAATTTCATGCTTTATAAATGTTAAAATATAATATTTTATAGTTGCATTCATGAGTCAATCGAAGCTAGACTACCATGGAAAAACTGGAAGTACTGGAGGGTTGCTCTATTTCGTGGATTGATTGAAGTTCGACATTAACACCGTTGGATACCGACCAGCTGAGTATCTTAGAGGCGGGATCATGGATGCGCAATGCTGAGGAGTCTCACAATAGGACGAAATGGTCGTCCAGTGTTTCCAGGTTATCCATGGCGGTCTACCTTCAATTGACTCATGATTTCAACTATACTAACATCTCCACAAAATCTCCGGTTAATAAAACATATATCTAGAAATCTTTCAATAAATTTGACTTATCATTTATAAGTAATTTAAGGGTTAATAAAAAGAATTAACTTATTTTCATAGATCATCAGATGACTTTAAAAAAACAAAAAACAACTTATATAAAATTACATAACTCTAGTGTTATTAAAAATTTCCTACATAGCACAAGTCAATATATATATAGCTCAGTGGTAACGTCTCTGACTGTTAAGCTGAGTGACACGGGGTCAAATCCGTCAGAGAGCATCAGTTCCCTCAAGATCTAAGGTACACCTTGCTGACGAGTGCCAAGTAGCACGAAACCCGGGTTCAGGATTTCCTGTTGACTACCTCCAATTGCCATCTTATCTCAACATAGTGCATGCAGTGTCGAGCCACTTAGACTAGTGACAACATTACAACTTGATGGATAACATTCGATTAGCACGAAGAAGGACTTGACACATATGACATTGATTACCACTCAGTAATTAATCTATTGTGATACATAAACACTTACAGATAAATACTCATCAGGAATTTTAGTATCGTAACATTCTTCACTATGTTCACATCCATCTTTATCACAGTAGGTTTGTTTGTCTTTTCCAGGAATTAATAGACGATAGTTTATACATCCTCTAAAAAATATAAAAAATAAACTGATTTGATTAATCACAAATATAATTATATGAATAAGAAAAGCTTTAAACAATGTAACTAATGCTATGATTTTGTAGCTCAGGTGGATAGTTTTAATGGAGTTTTGTTCTTTGAGCTGGATGGTTTAGTCGTGGAGCTTTTATCGTCATTCTGAACGACATCATTAGCAAAGACTTCAGATAGAAAACTGTAGACGTTAGTGCAGATAATGTCGTTCAGAAGGACGATGAAATCTCCACTATCAAATCATCCAACTTAAAGAACAAAACTCTATCGAAACTTTTCTTCATGTGTAAAAATGTGGGATATATCGAATGTTTATTGAATGAACACTCGATGTATATGTGAGATAAAAGATTACTACATAGCGAACAGGATTGTATTCACTTTAAACATGATATTCGTAGATAAGTCTAGGTATCAACTTAGAGATTGTCATTGTGAGAATAGTTCATGCAAAACGTGACATGAATAAAATTACAATACAAATCAGAATAAATAGTATGGTTAGCTATATTGTAAAGTCAGTAGTATTATGTTTACAAGTAAATTTTAGCCTAAAATTGAACTAGATTTTATTATAGTTGAGAGCATGAGTCAATTGAAGCTAGATCACCAGAGAAAACCTGGAAGCACTGGACGACCGCTCCGTTCTATTGTGGGACTCCTCAGCAGTGCGTACCCACGACTTCGCCTCGCGAGATTCAAATTCAGGACATGCCAGTCTCGTGCCAGAGCACTTAAAAGATAGAGCACTGAGCTGGCATCCGATGGTGATTATGTCTAACTTCAACCAATACAAGAAGTTGAGCAACCGTTCACCAACTACCTTCAGTGGGTTCTTATCTCACAACAGACGTGGTTTGAACTCCAGTGGCCACTGCTTCTCACTAGAACTCCTGGATTTACCTCTCCAAGTCAATCACTAGTGAGCATATGATTATTATTTAATTGACTAACGCTTTCAACTATGAAAATACTAAATCTCCACAAAAACCCCTTCTGATAGATTTTATTAAACAAAAAATTATAATTCATAATTTACCTACGAACGAGTAACATTTCTTGTTTAGTTACATTAACAACCAATGTTCTCTCCCAATAACTGGAAGCACTCTCAATTGCTTTCTGTTGATGGAAATAAAAAATAGGCATAGAAGTCTTCACAGAAAGACAATGGTAACAGAAATTCTTGTAAAAATAAATTATTAAAAGAAAGATAGCGTTGACAAATGACTTAAGTTAATGTATGTAAATGCAGAGAGTGAAAAACTTCGCCTGTATCTCTTCTAGGACTACTCCCGGTCATAAGTCTACAAATGGAGGATTGGAAATGACGTTGGCAACCCTAATCCGTAAAGAAATCTTGCTATGAAGACACTAAACGGAATAAATAAATAAAACCATGTAAGATCAATCCTGGGAGTTGATGGGTACTCATTCATAACAATTATGACGCAACATGATGAAAGCCGAGATTCTTCGAAAGTCACGAAGCTGATGGCATTATTAACAACCATAGCCACAACTAATATATGTACATGGAATTTCTAAACAATGTGAGATGAGAATGTCATGCATCCAGAATCATCAAAGCATTATTGAAAAAGAAGGAGGGAATCATAATGAATATTATCCATTGTTATACACACAACAATGGTGGCAACGATGACAATAAACATCAGTTCTATGAGAGACTGAGATCAATGATAGTGAAATGGTCAGCAAAACACCTGACCTTTCTGATGGGAGACCTAAATCCCAAAGTGGGAATAGACAACACTGAATATGAAGATACTTTGAGGAACACTTGAAGAGACCAGCTCCATTGAATCCACCACACATCGAAGCAGCACTCACTCACCTTCCTATAGATGTCACTACACTGACGAACGAAGAACTCGAGATAAGTATCAGAAAAATGAAGAGTGGGAAAACAACACAACTTGAAAATATATCACCGCAAGCACTGAGATCGCACACATCAGGAATAACAAAAATGCTCCACACTCTATTCTGAGAGATTTGGGAGGAAGAACAACTGCCGACGGACTGGAAAGCAAGACACATCAACACGATACCAGAGAAAGGAGATTTGAGGAAATATGAGATCTACAGAACTATCACATTATTGTAAGTAAAATGAAAGGTTCTCAACAGAATGCTGCTACACCGGATGGACCATTCACTTGACATCCAACATCGAGATCAACAGATCGGATTCTGTAAGCGTCGGTCGTGAACAGACCGAATTGCGACACTACGGATCATCGTTGAACAACCTATTGAATGAAACTCGACACTGTACATCAACTCCATAGACTATGAGGAAGCATTCGACAGTGTGGATCGGAGAAATTTATGGAAAAATCTTCGACACCATGGTGCACGTGGGAAAATCGTCAACATCATCCGGAATTCATACGACGGACTACAGTGCAAATTGGTGCATGGAAGACAGATGACAGATGCATTCCAAATGAAGGCCGAAGACAGACAAGGCTGTCTACTCTCCTCCTTCTTCATTCTTCTGATGGTTGACTAGATTATGAAAACCTCGATATCTGAGGTGAAGCACGGAATGCAATGAACAGCTCGAAATCAATCAAAAGATTTGGTCAACACAAATGAACTCACCTTTCTATCCCATACACATCAACAAATGCAGATGAAGACAGTCAGTGTACCAGCAACCTCTCTATCAGTAGGCCTCAACATACAACATCCTCAAATACAGCACGGAGAACACCAACAAACACAATCACACTTTATGAACATTGGGTGTAACTAATATTTGTTTCTACATGTAGTCAAAACCAGTATACCATATGCTGACCTATCGATAACCATCTATGATAGATTGATGAACAAAATAATCATACTGATAAAACAATCAAACATTTAAATAACCTATCATGGTAAGCAAATATGGATAGTGGTTAGCAGTGAAATCAAAGACGCGCGTTTCGTCCTATTTGGAACTCGTCATCTGTATGTACCTACATCTCATAGTTGATGTTCACTCTGGGACTTGAACTCAGTACCCTCGCATCAAACGTCATCACATTATCCACTCGGTCACTGAGTCCTGATAGCCAATTGCTTGTGCAATAAACAAACAATACTAAATGAATTTAAGTAATCTAGCTTGAAATGTAGGCATAAATAAAATAGGAAGTATTCTAGCTTGTAAATTCTTAAACCAACCTTTATTTTTGGGAATGCTTTACTTCTTTGAAGTTTATCATCATATATTAGTTTGATTTTTAAATTTCTATTATTCAATATTCTTTTATCAATATTCTGTGAATAAACACCATCTCTCTGAAATATGTCTATAATGGAATAGGTTTATATTTAACTTACAGGTTTTCTATGATTAACTACTTTACATATACGAGCAGTTTCAAATGAATTCAACAATACAAGGTGAATAAGAAGAAAAGGAAGAAGAAGAAGAAGAACACTGATCTTCATCATGCTACTCTATGAAATCTAACTTCTGATCGGAGTTTATTTATAGTAAACATTTAGAGTAAAAAGATCTCACACATACTTCTGTTTCATTATAAAAACATTAAGAAGTGGTTCTTATTGAACTTGTTGAAAAGTATCACTTTTTTTTTATGATTCTACTTCATAATGATGGATAAATCTAGTCAATCATCATTAACCTTATCTCATGATTATTAGGACAATAAATTGTACAACTTAAAATAAGTCAGGTCAAATGAATAATTCTAGTATGATATAAGGTCAATGTATAGTCTTCATTATTATAAGTAATATAATATAAATGATGATAAAGATGATCTACTTAATCTGTAATGATGCTTACAAATTATTATTTGAGTATTGTGGTCATATCAGTGATTATATGATTTAGATTTTAGATAATCCTTTAAATTCATTTAGTATATCAAAAGGGAGTATTTTGTGAATATTATAGTAATTTTATTAATTGAGATCATGAATCAATTGAATCTAGACCATTATGGAAAACCTGAAAGCACTAGAAAGCCTGGATGGACTGCTGAAATGTTTTATAATAAGACAAAACAGCCGTTCAATGCTTCCAGGTTTTTCATGATGGTCTAGTTTCAATTGATTCATGATATCAATTATTAAAATTACTATAATATCCACAAAATACCCCCCTTCTGATTATCAATCAATAAAAAATTCAGCGAATTCATGATAACTTTCAACAGCTGGTTCCAAGCCTTACAGGACCTACTGAAAGTAGAAAAAATTAATATGGAGAACAACTAGAAAGGTATCAAACGAACACTAGTTTCAACGTGTCAAGATGTTCTCCACTGTAATAAGCACCACCAATCATAAGGAATGGATCTATATGGGAACCCTGAACAAAGTATTATTTTTTCAGAAGCTCAATGAATTTCTTCCCTAATCCCTAATCCATAACATTCGTAATTCAAATTATTCTTGTTAAATCTTCAAATTCCATCGTCTATTAATAAATAGCTCTTGATTAACCATCAATACTTTCTCTTTGAATAATAAAAGAATATTCATATACATAAAGCTACTTCCATTAAGTTTCATTCATTAGATGGAAATCAACAAAATAAATTAATCTAATTTATTTTAGAATTTTCATAGTCAATTAAAGAAGAACCACAATGAAAAACCTGGAAACACTAGATGGCCGTTTCATTCTATTATGGGACTCCTCAACAGTGTGAGATTCGAACCCAGGTTTTCCATGGTGGTCTATCTTCAATTGACTATGAAAATACTGAAATCTCTACAAAACCCCTTCTGATCTATAATTTATTTTACACAACTTTATTTATATTCTGTCGAAATATTTGAAAAGTTATGAAGAATAACAGATTTTACCCAAGCAAATGGAAAAATAACCTTTAATTTTAGTATTTATTACAGATTGCCTTTAGCTAGGTGACCACTTAAAATTTTTAAAAAAACATTAGACAGTTGTTTCGTCCAAGTATGTGGCTTCTTATCAGTGTACATCCTGGATTCACAATTTTGTCATATTTTGTCATAATCAAAGAAAGAACGAGGTTCATGCTTAATTCAAAACCTAGACGACATGAAAACGATTGTGTCACATCCCCCTGTGTTTACCAATTTAAATGTGTGTGTGGTCATACATACATGGCGAGGGTACTGAGTTCGAGTCCCAGAGTGAACATCAAGAAGTCTGAGATGCAGGTACATCCGGCTGACGAGTCCCGAATAGGACGAAACGCGCGTCCTGGATTCCACTGCTAGCCACTATCCATCTTTGCTTATCAGGTCATAAGATTGATCTAAACTCAGCCTTTGTGGTGTTGTTTTAAAGTGTAAAAGGGCGTATACTAAGGTTTATTGAAGCCTTAGCCATACGAAAATTCAAACTCCCTTTGTGTATTCAAGAACAGTTTGTTCTCTCCTTAAACCTACCCTGGTAATAAATGCTTATTAACCAGAGTGATTAGGTGTCAAGTTGTTTTCACATTATTTTATCATTATTACCCTTGTCTATTTCTTAACCTTATTACCAGTCTAGTTGACCTTTTATTTTTATATATAAATGTTCTTAACAAGTATACTATGTGTGATCAGATTGTTCGAAATGTATTGCACTAATATATCGTCACATAGTTCTGATAATCTTCGTCTTCTTATTACATTATCGAAATTTATCAAAGGGACTAATTGCTTTAAATATTGGATTCTTCAATATGAGGCGCTAAAAGGGATAAGCTTAAATGCAGTAAACAAAAATGAATCTAGAATACTGTACACTATTGTACACTCTTTCTTTTACCCTTAGTTATTGTTTTAGTTGTGGAAATGTAAGTTGATCAAAACATTAAAAAATAGTTTCAATGGGATAACAAATATTAAAACGAAATTTTAGATAACAAGTAATAATGTGCTGTGTACTACTTATATCGACATAAGTAGTATACATAGTGAGTCAGGATTAGAATATCTGGTAGTAGAAGGTCGAGAAGATTGAGAAGAAAAGAACGGGAATAGAAAGCGTTAAATATGAAAATAAGGGAACATTGAAGTCTGAGACGATTGATTGTTATTTTACAAATGAAGTATTTCTTGTATGATTCCCAGAGCTTTTGTAATTTCTCATTCAGGTCTATTCTATTCTCCTCAATTATGTT